CTAAAAAGATAAAAGAACACACGACCAAGTCCATGCATGCGCCAGCCCGGAACTTGGTGCTGTTGAGTCGCAGCGCATGACTCTTCCAATCGATGTCAACACGGAGAGCCATGAGGTTCTTGAAGCGACGATTGCAGCGATCGGGAAGGTCTCTTAACATGGCATCAAGTTGAAAGTCGAGCGGTGCTTCTACATATTGGCCAATCTTGATCAATGCTTGCTCAACGTATTGTTTAGCGGCTCGCAGTAAGTAACGTTAAAAGGCTGAAAGAACACTTAGCCATGCCCATGCATGCGAAGTATCGCTGGATGAGAGCGTCCAATGTCACGATCCTTGACAGCCAGCCATAAGAGCGTCCAGTGTCATGATCCCTGACGACCAGCCGTGAGAGCGTCCAATGTCACGATCCTTAACGACCAGCCATGAGAGCGTCCAGTGTCAGACCTTGACGAGGGGGACACAAGAGCGTCCAGTATCACCGTCCTTGACGGTTGAGGCACGAGAGCGTCCAGTGTCACGATCCTTGTCAACGGGAGCAAGAGAGCGTCTGATTGTCACGGCTCTTGACGATCGAGAGGCTCTGGATATGTGCCAGATGAATGTATTCGAACGAGTGTGTAGTAGTCGATGGTGCATGAGGCACCAAAACAAAAATGTAGGACAATTAGGGAGCAAAGACAACGAGGCTGGTTGCTGGAGCATTCTGTCCACAAAATTCAGAAATGGAAAGCCCGAGACCGGCAGGTAGTCGTCTCAGGTGATCGATATTCGCATGGGTAGGATGCATATTACCACTCTGGTGGGAGGGAAGCAAATCTGGTCGAAAGAGCTTGGAAATGTCGAAGTCGCCCGAATGGTGAGAATTCGGGAGGGCAGTTTAATGTCGTGCCCCACGACCGTAGCGTCATTCCACGGATAACCATATTGAAAAGAAGATCGAAAGGGAAAGATATGATTGAGCTTCGCAAACCCTACGTATGATTCATCCCAAGACAGCGACCATCAGACTGCTAAGGGTTCTGGTACCCAAAAGTTAGTCTTCCAATCCCAATACTGTCGCTGCCGATTGCTGCCAATGTAGATTGGAGCCGTATCATTACTAGGGAGGGGGGCGCCATTCGTTAGTGGCCTCAGGTGCATCTTTCCAAAGTAACTCCCCGCCAGCCGTGATCGAGAGACCCACGCGGCATCGACAGTAATTGGGCTTGCTGACGGCTAAGTGTAGCCACGCCTGGCGCTGGAAGGAGTTCACGACTTGGTCGCTCTCACAAGAAGCGTGGGTGTGAAGGTTCCATTCCCAAGGTCGGTGGCGCTATGCCTGAACTAACAGATTTAGGCTTAATGTCCTTGGCCTGAAGTCTGCTACTGCAATAAGCGGATGGCTTTCAGTTCAAAATCATAATAAGCGCCATGCTCGTGGCTAATGTTGAGAGCATCAAATGAGGGTAACCAAGATCCGGCCTCCATAACTGATCGAGAGGGCGAATGAACCATATATCTTCGGTTCTCCGGAGTTCATCGACGTCTGAGCTGAAAGGGAGATTTGTCGCGGTATCGAGACCTGAACGTTGATTGTCAGAGGGTATATTTGAGGTAGTGATTCTCGTAGCGCTGTGGAAGATCCCTTCACCTGGAGCATCAGTCGTAAGCTTCATGAGAAGAACCAACTGTGCTTTCAATCATAGTATAATCGGTTCCATGTCCAAGATAGAGTCGAACACCCGCGGTGATACTGGTACAGGTCCAAGGAGCTCGACAGGCCGTGCGATGGATGTTGGAGAGCCCGTGGTAGCATCGGATCAGTAATCTCGTTGAAGTAACAAGTCCAACGGAGAAAAATGGAGATTGGTTTGGGCGGATGGAAGAGACGCCATTACAATCAGTAGATTGAAATTGGCTATGCTAGGCTGCAACGATCGTTTTGTTGGAGTCGAGCCGGGGTAGCTCTCATCAGTGAAGAGAGGTCATCCGAGTGTTCCAAATCTGCGGCTTCGACACCTGGCCATCATGATAGTGGGCGTGGCGGGATGCGGAAAGTCCTAAGCAGCGGTGACTTCAAATCGAGTGTGTGCCGAAGATATCACGTGTTTGCCCTCAAAATCCAGGTTGCTATTCGCTCGGTACTTGCCTACGCCTGGCGAAAGTTTGGTGTGGCATTCATTTGTATGACAGGAGCAATGGTCCTAATAGTGACGTGTATCGATCACGATACGAGAATGGCTCAGGCGGTGCTGCCATAATATCCTTCCGCTGTAGAAGCTGTGAAGGAGGACTCGTTTTCATTTGTGGCCGTGTCTTAGAGGTGAAGGATTCTCACCTCTTATGACGACGTTGTAGGCAAGCAAGGTGTGGTTAGGAGGACGTTGAAGAATTCCGAGGGTATGCTCATTGGGAGTGCTGCGTAGAATAATCAGTGGCTCAACAGGCTTGCGGGTGTTAGTGTTGGCCGAAGTAGGTATTTATTGGGCCTTTCTACTTACCTCCAAGGGCTGAAAACCGACATTTTGAGTCGGAGCATGATGCAAGAGCCGGATCTCTATATTGCAGTGAGGATTCAGTGGCCGCTGAGGACGCAAAAGTTTGTTGTGATGGCTTCCAGTCGGTACCATACGTGATGGAAGCTTGAGTTGTGGATGAGCGAATGTTTTTGAGGACGGGACTCGATGGAAGCTGTTGCGTACGCGATGTGAAGGCTACTTTTGTTGATCAAGGTTCGATGCGGGACTTTGCGGTCCCCTTAGAGGTCCTTAGACGCGACTCGTGCTTCCATAGGCCCTGAAAAACTGTCAGCACGTCTTCGGAGGTCAGCGTTTGGTGTAGTTGTGATGCTACGCAAACACGGAGGACGCCGCAGCGTTCAAGCAACATAGGCAAAGACATCTCTTAGTGAGCTGCACCGGCGCGGAATAGCCACTGACTATTCTCAGCCCAAGACGGGGGCGCCGTCTGTCAAAGATGGGTTGTGCTGTTATGAGAAGGGAAGAACTTACGTCGATAATTGTCTCCGTACGCTGTGGACGAGCTGGTAGCATCACCAGGGCATTGCCGAGGCGGCAACATAATGTTTATAGCCTCAAGTCAAACGCTCAAAAGCCAAAGTACTTGACACAAGCTACTGGTATTGTTGTTTAAACTAGGGAGGAAGAAAGGAACGTGATGGTTGGTCAGCTGGTGGAGCAGTTTTCCTTCAGCAACCCACCTAGTCCGCTTCTAGTAGGCCCACTAAAATACTACACTCATTACAATCATACCACCTCACGTCAATATCTTAGGAAACGTCATAAGTAACTCATGTCATCGGAATATTTGTATCTGTCTCTCTTCTCCCCATCAACTTGGCACTGTGTCGACCGTTTCCGCACCCGCTAGCCCATTTTCAATGTCGCAAATACAGCGTAAAACTTGTTTTTCGAAAGGCTGCCATCGGCAGGCTCCACCAACGAACACTTCTCAGGCTGCTGTCAAACACAATGGAACTCGAAAGAGAAGGAACTTGTGGACTGTCTCCGTAATAGCCAAGACCAGCGCAGATAGCTGTATCCTCTTCCGGAATCACCACCTGTCGATACAACCTCCGCAGCCGCCTTCCAAGCCGTCATACGTTCCCTCCCTCCTTCGAACTCATATGGAAGGGACCGTGAGTATAGCTAAGACCGTGGCCGGCTGAATGTTGTCCACACAGTCGGATGAGATGTTTCAAGACGCGGGAAAGGCAGGAAGGCTCTGAGTTTGGGCGCATGATTGGCGGAAGAGTTCTATCGGAGGAGTACGAGAGCTCGGTTTGAACAACGAAACGATGCTCGAGATTAACATTCCTTGAAAAGACTACGAGGGCTGAGCCGGTCACAGTGATCAACATAGGCACCGATGATAATGCTTCGCGAAAGCATTCTCTCTGACTTCTCTCGATGTTCCCAGGCTTTGAAACGTATGTTGAGGACCCGGCAGTTGAACTAGAGTATGTATCTGTCCGCATCTTTGCAAATTTCGACAATAAGAGAGAACAATGGATGGAGCGAGGTGAGAGATAATTTGGGTTACATCCGCATCTAAGATAAGGTATAGTACTCAAAGCATGGAGGACATCATTGCGCCAAATCGAGGAGTGCGTTGCAGCATTAATATTGCCTGCAACTCCAAAGGTCAGGCTGTTGGCATATAATCTTAATGCGCAGATTCGGGTAACTACGCCATCACATATACATTTTCAGCGTAAATTGTCTTCAACACATTTCGATCACACAGGATGTTTCCTCTGAGGATATGAACATGTAGCAGCATACTGAGTTACTCAATTGAAACGTATAGTCACGGCTGCTTTTTAATTAAAACGCCTCTTTCCACCAGGATCTTTCGTTGAGGGTGGTACAAGACCTTCCCAAAGCCCGGAAGATATCTTGGGTAGCACAGTCCTCCAAGTTTTTGGGATTCACGTTCATAAAATTCGGTTGGTCGCTCAAAAGGGCATCCCATGATTCAACAAGATTACTCTCTTGTGAAGAAGCCGCCAATTACTTCGGGCTCTGTGCGACACATAGTCAACGGGCTCTAAAAGACTACCAATGATCTCCTATCTCGCACTGCATGATAATCTGCATCTCAAGGAGCTTCTGTTATGTTCTTAGGAAATGCAAATGCTTTATGCGAGTAGATTAGTAAGGGTAAGGCGTTCGGTAGACTATTTGGGAAATGTCAAAGGCGTGTGAAATATACTCCCAACACAATAAATAACGTGTTCATTAGTTGGAGAATACCCCCTTTTCTCTTCTGAATTCCACATGAGATGAAATATACGCAGGTAGGCCCAGAAGGTTCCACACAATACAATTTTCTTCATGCTGCATCATAAGTAAATCAAAAATTGTCATGTTTCAGTACTACACGTTCTAAATTCGAGAGAAAAAAACGAATTTCAGACATCGTTCTCGCGCGTAGCAGTTATGAACACGTCACGTCTTTTACTCAATTGCGCGATATTTGAAACATAATAAAACAAATCCTCTTCTTGGTGTAGTTGGTTTATCACGTCGGGCTGTAATAGAATTCATGCCACCTGAAGGTCCCTGGTTCGATTCCGGGAGAAGAGAATTTCATTTTTGCCGGAGTCCATCACTAGATTTTTATGCATCACCACCATTATATTATCAGAACCAATCTCTTCAATTCTTACATGCTGGGAATAAAATTTTGGGCTGCTTCATCCTGCTAATCATCAACACAAATGACTAAAGGAACGCCTCCTTAGTCATTTGTGTTGACGGTTATAGCCTGCTTACTTATCGCAACGTCAATGAATTTAAAGGAGGAAACGTCAAAGAACAACACTTCTATCGAGAATAGGAAGCCGTTTCCGGAGGTTATTGGACCTCCACGAACGCTCAACACTTGCTGATGTCGTATCTCAGTCAGCACGACTTTAATCGGAATCGATCAGTAGAATCAAATCACACCACTCGTGTGAGTCGTTGCTGATAGAACTAGACTGGAGAAATGTCCACACGAGTTGCCTCAACACGACTTTTGGCTCACACCTCAATGACGAGAGATTCTATGTCCAGACGCCGAGATCGATGAAAACGCTTCAAGAGAAACAAAAATGAGCAAGCGAACCACGATCGATGGACCGCTTGCATAATTCGGCATAAAAGCGGTCTAAAAGTGGCCTAGTACTCAGAACATCGACCGATTTGCTCAAACACCCTTTTCATGCGGCACTTTTCGGTACTCGTCAAACGTCCCGGAAGCCGTTGCAACCTTATCATAACGTCCCTTCAACTGCTTCAGATGAGAGGAAAGATCTAGTTTTCGCAGATGTTGCCGTATCATCATGAAGTATTAGTATTGTGGTTATGAGTAATGGTAGGGCGGAGGAGGGGGATTTGAGTTTGATGAAGTGAATCGCACCGCAAAGTATAGCATATTAGTCAAGGTATCAAGGTTCAGTACTGGCTTTCCAGTAGCGTTTATGTTTCCGAGTTTTCGAAATGCAGAACAGCTCTTTGGCACTGAATGCGGCGTCTACGGGAGAAGTATACAAGAAAGGACATCCGCGACGCTCTTGTGTATGTGAAGTGATGGTAAAATCTCAGAAGAAGCTCTCGACTGTCTGAGGCTCCTCAATCCACTCCCTGAGTCCATCCACTGTCCACCTCGGCGCAATCCAATCTGCAAATGAGATTCCTACGCGCTTCTCCGAATCCATCTCCCACCAGCACCTTATCGCTGAACTATCCAGATCTGCCCTCAAAGCTTGGAAGACTTCCTTCGTTTCGGCGGCTATGTCTGTCGACGTAGTCACCACCTGGCAAGCATTGGCGTATGACTGTTCGGCTTTTCGGTAGTAGCTCTATTTGGATATGTTAGTAATGACGCAAAGCAAATATGAACAATAGTAAGGGTTGCATTGCAAGGCATGGCTTACTTCGCGTTCGGTCAAGTCGCTGCTAATATGAGCGAGAAAGAGATATGTCTTGATCCAAGTGTAATATGGGTAGTCCGGTTCAACGACTAGAAGGATGCGTAGTTTCCAGTAGCAAGGCTCGATTTGGCCCAAAACATAGTCCTCCATGGCTTCATGGTATAGAAGTGGGAGTGTGGTGTCCATTTCAGGTTGTATAAGTATCTGCTATTATAAATAGCTAAGTTGTTGTGTTGCGTGTGGGAAATTGGAGTAGTTTTTGCGAGGATTTTGTTGCGCGGAAAATTCTGTGAGGGAAAGGAGAGAATTTATACTTGGGGCATGCCTTGAGTTCACATCGATACATATAGTTCTGTAGCTTGAGATCAAGAACAATTGGAAATACCGAATAGAAACATGTACTTATACTCTATTGAAGGTACGCATCAAGTCACTTGCAGAAGGCCTTTGCTTTCATTGAGTAACACCGTGATCAATAGCCGTGCCCATTGACATAATTTTACATAATGTATTCAGCCTGTGGTTGCTCTCTATGTGCCTTTCTTTGATTGGAAGAACACGGCGAGCATTTCTTATACATGGTTGCGGTAGGTTGATGCTACACAGGGTCACAGCTTGGATCACAATCATAAGTCTTACGCATAAGATCGGTTTTCGTGTCATTGCCACCAAACTCTAACGACCACAGACTGTTGATCCTACCATGCAAGCGGATGGAGAGCGCAGATCCAAGCACGCCAAATTTTGTTCTCATAACGAAGCAGGCTCACAGCTTCTGTAAACAGAATTATGAGTATCCTCTCTTGTGCCTCAATCTCGCTCCCTACTTATTCACTGACTCTCGTCTCCGACGATCAAATACCACCGCGCAAAATCTAGATCAGGCGTGCTCTCTTTCTCGTGGGTGATCTTCATGCTTGCCGGCCGTCTCGAGGGTGATACAGTGAGCGAGAAAGCCTGAACATGAGAGTATGGTAGCATCTGCTGTGTGACGTGCCGGCGGAGGTGAAGCCTTGGTCGTTCTCATGGCCATAATTGATCTGTCAGTTATGACAGAAATTACCGTAGTAGGCCTTACTAATTTCAAAGCTTGGAGAAGATGAAGCTGAAGCAATAGACGCAATGAATATCAATTCTGGAGGCTTGACAGGTAAAAGGCTTCATTTCAATAAGCTCAAAGCCTAATTCCTAGGAGAGATATTTCTATTCAATCGTGTAACAATCGTGGAACAATTGCGAGACAGTTCGTACTGAGGCACGAGATCAATGTTAAGACTGAGCAGAACCGGGGTTCATACTCAGGTAAAGATCCGGATAGCTCTCGAATTCGCCATTGTAGGTATAGAGGACATGGCGTTTTATTCTAGCTCAACGATCCGAGGATTAAATCGCAAAAAAGTGAAAAGCTTGCACGGACTGCTTCTTTGCGTTAACTTTAGAGCGAATTGGTGAGAGAGGAAAGGAAGAAGAAAAGGGAGGAAGAAACGTCTTCCAAGAAGGCGCTGTGCGCTCTTGGCATGTTACGTCACAAGGTATTAGAGCGTGGAATGGAAAGCGAAATTAGGACTTCTATTCCTATAAAAAGTGGTTAAAACTGTACCTAGATGCCTCTCACAATGCCTAGGTAAGAAAGGGTCAGGAGATATATGCAATTTGGTTCCTTTCCGGTAATCAGTTTTCAGCCTCGGCGCCATGAGTGAACAAAAGTGGACACTGAAACGGCCAACACTAGATCACCCCACCTTCCCCCCTCGTACATCTTCCAGGCAACCCTATTTCGTTCTAGTTCTCATCCTCTTCTTCCTTCCCCACTTCCTAGAAAGCGCTGGAAAGTCAAGGGCTGCTTCGCTCGTTTAGGGCACAATGTTGGCGTCGTACAGTGAAGCTGAAAGACGTGGAAGTTCGAGATATTCTGCGATTAGATTGCCGTGTAAACTCATCTCGTATGTGGTTACAAGGTAGAGGAAGCTTGAAGTTAGGAATCACTAATAAACGTTTCATCATCACTTATCAATGGTAATTGAGTGTTATGACAGCACACATCCATGAAAACTTATCAAGATCTGCCTTAGACGACATCACAGTCCTTGCTATCTGATGCCAATAGAAGGCTGCGATGCACATTTGCTCGCTCTGTGATTGGTTCTGCTGTTGTTTAGGTATGTAAGCGCATTTGATCTTTTGGTGCTGAATACGCTCGAGCGTTTCAGATGTGTATACCTAGAACGACTCAGCGCAGGGTCTTTCCAACTCGTGGAGTAGCTAGGGTGAGATATGTGAGGTCAAATCTGGAATTACCATGCTCATAGAGCAGAAGATATTCAGGAAAACTGCCATTTGACAAAGCAAAGTTGACGATCTTCCTTGTTCTACGAATTTGAAACACAAACCCCTGAAAAATTCCCAGTATTGGTCGCATGACACACACAGAGAGTCGAAATCAGGATCTTATTCCAGGCGAGGCGGTTGCCAAAACACTTGCTTACCATCCGGTTTAAGCGCGGCTGCATCCGACAGGATGGGAAAGATAAAACTAACCAGGCTAACAGGTATTTTACAAGGCTAAGACTCGTCCAAGTGGATGCAGGAGGAAGCTGTCGTTGTGGAATTCGAGGTAGTCGTAATGCTTCCGATCACCAGGAGCGCGGCACTCTAGATAATCTCACAGCGAAGTACTTGGGAAGAATCTAAGGAAATCGAAAGCTACCGGGCAATCGAAAGGCATGTTAAAGTACTTTATGCCAGGTTATTCGCCACTTTCTAGTGGAAACACCATGGAAAGCTCCTGCGGAGTCCCACTTAAGCTTTCGTACGTGCTGAAGTGCTTGTTTCCTGATGTGAGATCGAGCTGGAAGCTGAGAAGCACCGTTCTGAGAGCCTTCTAAATTTGCGCTGGACACGAAGTGTAAATGTAACGCTCCTGAACCTACCACGATTTTTACCAAAAATGCACGGAAGATAATCACTAAACTTACATTAGGTTTCGTTGTGCTAATGGAAACACAATGTGATGGACTCCTTACTCCAAGGACGGATTATTGATCTCTATCTTCTTTGCCTCGAGCTGCTCTTAAGCTGGACGGCCCAGACGAAGTCACGAGGGCCTCCCGCCCGGCTCTTAGCTGTGAGCATGTTGGGCCTGATGCATTTACCTAGATCAACCTCCGTTAGCTCCAGATGGAATCGAGCGTTGAATACTATGCCTTTCCACCTGGTGCCTTTGTCGAATCTGATGGTTTACAAGCTAGCTATTGATGGAGAATCACTCTCCGGCTAAGACCGTAGCTTTACACGATTAATCTCCCTACTTGTGCCTTGCCTCTTTCCTTGACACGGGCCGACAGTGAGCATGCGTCACTGAGACGGACAACAAAGCCGAGGATGGTTGTGTCCAGGGTAACAAAATCCTTTTTGATACGGTGACTAGGAAGTCAGCGTATTTTATACCAAGTTGGAGAAATCGAGCTTTTACTCAAGCTACAACTGCTGCATGATACTTTTGTGAAGTGCGCTTTCGCACGAATCCGCAGCTTGCTATTCAAATCGTCCTCCTTGAAGTTGATGCATGCTCATCCTAGTGATTCGTATTTGAGAAGAAGATAAAAGCATATTTGAGAGTACAAGCAAGTTTTCTGACTGGAGTTTTAACGAGGAGAAATAGAAGCAAAG